GTTTGGGTCATAAATTTACTATTTGCCTTCATTGTCTTTTCCATCTGACTGCTGCTATTTCTATAACAAAACTATAAAATTCAGACCAAATTGGAATTAAAATATTTAAAAAGCCAGTGTGTGAAATATTGAAGTTTATTTATATATATATATATATGTGTATAACAGGAAACTTCTCACACACCTTTGCCATCGTTGTGTTTCTCTTCCCATCAGGTCCTTCCTCTGCTGTGTTCTGACCAGCAGGGCCAGGCACTGGGCTTTGATGACGACCTCCAACGCCTCTACGCTGCAATCGTTGCCCACGGAAATGCGTGCACGCGGAAACGGAAGCTGTCTGAGGAGGACCAGCCGCCCACTGAAGAACCAGACCTCACCTCATCTCTGGGTTTGTTTGATTTGATGTCTAAAAAGCTCCTTGCTGACGCCTTAAAGCTTCACAGTTCAATAGAAATATCAGAATGAGCAGATCTTAACTTTTAGTCTCTCAGCCTTCATCTTAACAAACATATTCAGGCTTACTTTTGCTTTCATCAAAGAGCCACTCTTTACAGCCCATCAAACACTTAAACCAAACACATCAGGAGTTCAGTTTTAAATCTAAACGTAATAAAAGCTTTTGTCCAGAGCACAGACCGAAGTTCAGCAGTCAAACACACCTTCACAGTGTTGCAGGGCTGCAACTGATCAATATTTTCATTTCAACTGAAAGTCATGATCTAAATGTGGCTGTTGTGGTTGTAAGTGTTAATAAAACACTGTCCTGGTGAAGCTTGTGTCCTCGGGGTGCAAACATTTAATACGTTTTACCACGTTTAAAGAATATAACACACATTAGTATGTTACTCCAGGTGGATCTCACAGCAGTGAAGCAACTGAGGACGGACAGCAGAGCCGGGACGCAGCTGGAGCCGAGATGGCCGACAGACCCACAGTACAGCAGGTGCGATAACCTGAATTATTAAGATGATTATTTATTTCCTCGGTTACATCATTACACTGCCTGTAAAATAGAATATTGTGGTAATTTCTACATTTTACTGCTTTTAACAAGTATACTTCTACAGTTATATAAAAGATAGGGGATGTAAAACGGTCTCAGGTGTCCACGGAGAGACACTAAATCATTTTACAGGAAGGATGTAAAAATCTTTTTGTCCTCTACAGTCTCTTCTGGTCACGTCCGACCCTGCAGAGCGACCGTCCTCCAAACCAAAGAAGAAGAAGAAAGTGGTCGGACTGTTCAGATGAGCCCGCGCAGTAGGACGCACACACAGACGACAATTAACAACTCTACTAGAAAAAGTGCTTCATTTCCCCATTTGATGGAAAATTACCTTTAAAACTATTTCTTCGTTTTTAAACTTTTATTTTGAAGGACACTATTATAGATGTGGTTTTAATTCGATTTGTTCATGCAGTCTTTTATATTGAAAATGTAATTAAATAAGTTTTAAATCAATTTAGTGAAATAAAGTATTTTTAGAGAGGTTTATTAAAGATTTAAATATAATTTTGATGGCTGTTTTTGTCTGCTATTAACAAAATCAACTACATGAAGTAGTTGTAGAAGTAGTAGAAGTAAATCATCCGTGTTTGTGTCTAAAGATTCACTTTGAAGTCATTTCTTCCTGCGTTCGGGCAAACGGAGGGAGCATAATGAGCTGACAGCGGTCGATAGGGCCCTTTTCGTAGCAGAATGAGATGTTGACTCAAGGTGTTGCCGCATCTCAGGAATGCTATTAAAGTTGAAAAGTCACTGTTTGATTGCAGGTTTTCAAGAGTTTCTGTGTGACAAATGTTTCTGAAAAGTTGCTTCATGTTAACTTTGAGAATTTGTTATTATTTGGTCTTTTGAGTCACTGGTCTAACTAAATTCCAGGTAATGTTTCTCATAATTCCCATGAAAGAAGTTGCTTTGTTGCTTTTCTTGCTCATATTTTACTGATAACCAAATATTTTGGACTGTTTGTTGCACAAAACAAGACATTGGATGGCATCACCTTGTGCTGTAGGAGACATTTTTCACTGATCTCTGATGTTGAACTGAAAATTATAGTTTATCCGTCCCTAAATGCCGCATTAAATACACTTTTCATCCTCCTTTGATACAGGTTTTGTCAAAGAGGCGTCCTGTTTTTAGACAATTTTCCTGAAATCTCATAAAAAGATTCAAAGTATCTATTCCTGATTTCGCTTTCGCTTTCTGAGCGCCCTACTGAAGGCCCCTGGAGGCCCTCAGACCCCGGTTTGGATGGAGGGTATGACATCAGCAGAGGGCTCAGCGGGCTCAGCAGACGAGGTGTTGGGTGTCGAGTCTCTGTTGGTGAAACCGGACCTCTGCTCCGTTATCCACGGTTGATCTCAGAGCCTCCACCTGGCTCAACGTCGATCTGTCTGTGTAGTTTGTGATCATTGTTGAGGTTCATTTTATCGTCTGTGTGTGTATTATTATTATCTCTGCTCAGCTGTTCACAACGTGGCGTAACGTCCAGATATTTTCAGCGTCTCCAGTGAGGGTGAGCGATCAAATAGTATAATGTGATTTTATGTTGTGTTATTAATATACAGCTGCTGACTTGTTCAGTCCCACTGTACCGCCCACAAATGCATCGATTGAAGTCTGGCAAGATAAGATTCTTGCATAATCTAATGCTAATCATGGCCCATCAGAGTTACTGTAATGATCCTCTAGCTTTTTGCATTTATTTTAATATAAATATTCACCTGTTTATCTAAGGATATTAGGAAGTTCAGTTAGGAAGCATTTGATGAATAAAAGGAGCTCAAATAAATCAGAATTTGAAGCTGAATCAAGCTTGCATTTAATGAAAAAATGTACACCTGAAGAAATCTCTCCTCAGTTTAATGCATAAAGTTCTCTGGTGGGTTCTCAAAGGGTGTTCTGGGAAATCTAGGAAATCTCTAAACTCATTGAGATTGAAACAGACACAGCAGTGGTTGTTTCACCTCCACACACTGATTTTTCTCTTCAGGTTGTCCAAGTTGGGGTCCTGGGCCCTTAAGGGGGTCCTTGAGGAGTATTTTAATGTGACTATAAGGCGCGTGTTCAGTGATAAAACGGTGGTCAGAGGTCTGTTACTTCCTCACCTACTGCACAGACTGTACTGGCACTCTGTAACGACTCTCAGAGGAGGGGTGAGAACGTTTTGGAGCGCAGGTCTAGACCCGCGCACCTGCGCTCCTGCTCATGCGTCTTTTACTTGAAGCCGAGGGTCCAAAGGTCAGAGTGAGCGCGCGCCAGCCCCTGTCAGCCTCGTGGCTCGGTGTCTGTCTGTCCTCTTGGCTGACAATAAACAGATGAAGGCGGCCGCGGGGCCTGTGCCACCCCGATGGGAGGAGAGGACGGAGCGGAGGGCAGGTCCAGCAGGGCGCGGTCTTCTTCTTCTCCCGCGGCACCTCATCTGTACTGTAGTAGGATCTCTTCCATTTCTGCCAACAGCCCTGCGCCACAGGGACGCATTGAGAACAAACCCAAGAGGCAGAAACCGCTGCGGGGACACCCTTTGACCGCCGTGCCCAACAGGCGCAGCCAGACTACGCAGCGCGCGCCTCCGTGTCTGTCTGTAGACCTTTTTCTCACAGCTTCGACACTGAGACAGGCTTTGAACCTGTCTGCCAAGATAAACTCACCTCGCCTATTTATGCCCCTGCCTCCGCGTGCACTCGGGACAGGAGAGTGTCGGCAGCCCAGGGGACAGGTTCAGGTCGTTCCAGCTCGTCTCCACCAGCGCACTGGCCACTTTTACGCGCCGGGAATGGCCACTTTTGGGGACCCGGG